AACACTTCCTCACTCCAACTGTATATTCCCCACTGGAGTGTCCTTTAAAAACTGGCAGCAATTTGATCCACAGACCCTTAAGAAGAGGAGAGGAGGCTAATCTTCTGCACCCATGCCTGGCCAAGTTACCAACTAGGTGACTAGGAACAATGACCACCAGAGGAAGTATCAGTTTCAATACTATTCTCCAATTAGATCTGTTCTGTAAGAAGGAGGGTAAATGGTTAGAAGTCCCATATGTGCAGGCTTTCTTTACACTTAAAAAAATGCTGAATTATGCTGAAAGTGCATATTGATCCTCCCTGATGGTGGTGGCCAGAGACTGGGAAAGGATAAACAGGAAACAAAAGAAAAAATTCCCAAACCTCAGGAGAGGCCAACTCCAACCACCCTTCCTTAGTACCAACCCCAGATGAAATCCTCCTATACTCTTCTCTCCTTTCCTTGTGGGAACAGGAACTAAATGAGGAAGAAAACCCTATTAGAATGTTCCATCTTTTCTCCCTCCAAGACATTAAACAGATAAAATGGAATTTGGGGAAATTTTCAGATGACCCTGATAAATTAAGGGCTTCAGAGAAGTGATCCATGTCTTTGACCTTATTTGGAAAGATACCATACTTCTCAATAGGACTCTTTCCATGGCCAAGAGGGAAGTGACTTGTTGGTTGGCTGTGGAATATGGGGATGAATTAATGGCCATACAAAACCCAGGACCCCCCATGAAACTCCACATATTAGGGTCCCAACCAGGAACAGGGGTGGAAGAGGAACCATAGGGACAGATTCTACTGAGGGGTTAGAGGAGGTTGAGGGAGATGGACCTCAGGAAGAAAGTGATACCCACCCCTACCCTCTGGGAACCAAGAGGACCCAACTAATGACACTGGATGGTCTTACATAATTGAAGAAGGGAGATTGAGGACTCAACAATTTTTCAATGTGTTATGGAGGGCCTTAGATACACTCAAAGGAAGCCCCTCAATTATGCCCAACTTTCACAGGTCAAACAGGGAAGGGAGGAAACCCCCTCTGGCTTTTTGGAAAGACTGAGACAGACTTTGGTTAAACATAACCAATTTGAACCCTGACAGCGTTAAGGAAAAGCTGATTCTCAAGGATAAACTTATCACCCAATCTTCTTCAGATATCAGGAGAAAACTGCAGAAGTTGCCCCAAGGGCCAGATGACAATCTGGAGGATCTTCTCTGAATGGCCAATAAGATCTTTTTCAACAGGGAGGAGGAGGAAATCTGGGGAAGGAAGGAGAGAACCAGGCAAAAAAGCAAAAAACTCTAGTCATGGCCCTGAGGGAGGCAAGGCTGGGAGAAAGACCCCAGGGAGAAGGGGGTACCAATTCTGAGTGCTTATTTTGCATAAAAGCAAGGACAATTTAAATGAATGTGTCCCAAGAAGTGACTCCCCACTGCCATGTCCTGTCAAGGAGACCACTGGAGATCAGACTCTTCTAGGGGATGAAGGTTTCCTGGGATGAAATACTTTTTGTGGTCCAACAGGACTGATAAGGCCTGATGTCCTCAGGCGCCCCTCTCGATCAGACTGTCATCTCCAAAGAGGGGCCTCATGTGAGCCTTAATGTTGAGGGGGCTAACTTCTTGATACAGAGCAACATACTCAGTCCTCATTTCAATCCCTGGTCCCCCCCCATCCACTCAAAAAGTAAGTATTTGGGGTGTTTCTGGCCTCCCATTAACCTCCCATTAACCTTTGAGGTGTGGCTGGAATGGCCTTCTGTTCTCCCACTCCTTCCTTGTAATGCCAGAGAGTCACACACCACACACCACACGCATATCCTGGGTCAAGATATATTGGCTCATTTGAAGACCCTTATTTTGGTAGGGCCTGGTCAACCCCTAATCCTCCCACTTGTGGAGACTGAAATTGATCCTAGAATATGGACAACTGTAGGACAAACTGGGCCCAGCACTGGGTGCAGCTCCTGTGCGAGTTCATCTAAAGGCCACTTCTGCCTTCCCCAACCAGAAACAATACCCTCTGAGACCCGAGGCTAGCAAAAGACTCAAGCTGATAATCAGTACAGGACCTCAGGCTTGTAAATGAGGCAGTTGTCCCAATGCATCTGGTGGTTCCCAACCCTTATCAGAAATACCTGAGGACTCTGAATGGTTCACTGTTTTGGATTTAAAAGATGCCTTCTTTTGTATTTCCCAACATTCAGATTCTCAATTACTTTTTTGCCTTTGAGGATTCCAACATTCAATTCTCACAGTTGACCTGGATGGTCCTGTCTCAGGGTTTCCAGGATAGCCCCCACTTGTTCCAGCAGGCCCTGGCTAAGTACTTTTTTTCTTTTTTCATCTCCTGATAGTATGGCTATTCAGTATGTGGGTGACATCCTGTTGTGTGCTCCCAGTCAGGTAGCACTAGGGATCTATTGAATTTCTTGATATGAGGTATAAGGTATCTAAAACTAAGGCCCAACTCTGCTTAGAGGAAGTATTGGGCCTGACCCTTAGCAAGGGAACTCACTTCCTGGGGTGGGAAAGAATTGAACCCATTCTGGACTATCCCATCCCCACAACCCTTAAGCAACTAAGAAGATTCTTGGGAGTAACTGGATATTGTAGACTATGGATACCTAGATTTGGAGAAACTGCCCAACCTCTTTATCGGGCAATAAAGGAAACCCAACAAGTAGGAACTCACCTAATAACATGGAGCAGAGTTACAAAATGCATTTGAAACTGAAACAGGCCCTTCTCCAGGCACCTGCTCTGGGCCTCCCTACTAGGCATCTTCATCTGCATGTTCTACAGACACCTTGAACTCAATGTGTAAAATCTGAACTCATCTCCAATGACCAAAATTATTTTCCTACCATTTTTTCATGAATAAAGCCAGAAACCTAAGAATCAACTCATGTCTTTCACTTCCTCACACCTAACTCACCAACTCATGCCTGCTTCTATCATTTATGTGTCTCAATTTCATTCCTTCCCTGTGCCCCTATGGCTCCTGCCCCAACTGTGGCCTATAGCTTGCCTGTGTTATTACAAATTCCTTAATACCACTTCCCCAGTCTCTGTGTTAATTCCTGCATCCTAGGCCCCTCCTCCACTTACCTTCCTCATGATTGTTAAAGTGACCCAGCTTGTTTACCCGTCTAGCCTACATCTTAATTCTCCACTTCACTTTGGCCTTTTATCATCCTTCCTTGATATGACTGCAACTGCCAATTTGCAACCATGAGGTCACCTTTAAAGGAAAGTCTCATGCCAAGGATGGCAACAGATAAGTAGAGTCTGACATTAATGACACCATCATACCATCATGTCCATCCTCAGTGGGTTACCTCTGGCTTTTCACATGAGAATAACCCCTCCACTAGTTAAGCTGTTTATTTTGCTATCTTTCTCATCCTGAGCTTTTACATAAATTTACAAAAAGTAGGTGGTATTCTCAAGAGGCCTCAAAGCCAGAAATGGGCTTTCCTCCACTGAAGTCTGGTCTGAGCATCAATGTTAAGCCAACTGCTGAATTCCTTTTCTGTAAGTATTCCTGCCAACAAAATTAAATAGGCTTATCAACTAACCACACCTTAGTATGAACTGGAGGTTCAATCCACAAATCAAGAGAATGCAAATTTTGATAAGATCATCAACCTTGAATCATTCTGAGGGTTTTTTTTTGGACTGGGTTTGAATTCTGGGCGTTTCACACTTTACCACTTGAGCCACATCTCCAGTCCAATTTGCTGTGGCTATTTTGGAGATAGTGTCTTACAAACTATTGCACTGGACTGGCCTCAAACCCTGACCCCCTTTATCTCAGCCTCCAAAGTAGCTAGGATTACAGGCATGAGCCACCAGTGCCTGTCTCTGTAACTAGTTTTAAATTTTTACCTGATTGGGAAAGTTTGGTTTTTTAAAAAATAAGTGAGTCGATGCTAGGATCAAAGTGTGTTCCACATACCCCTTCCCAATTCATGTTAAAACCTAACCCCAAAGCAACAAGATGAAGCAATGGGATTTTAGGAGGTAATTGGATCGTAAGAACTCTGCCCTCATAACAGGATGAGTGCCTTTAGAAAAGAGGCCTCAGAGAGCTCTCTTGTCCCTTGCACCACATGAACATACGACAGGAATACTCCATCTTCGAAGCAGAGTGTAGGCATTCACCAGAACCGTATCTGATGGCACCTTGATTTTGGACTTCTCAACCTCCAAAACTACAAGCAGATTTCTATTGTTTGTAAATTAGACAGTCTATAGCATTTTGTTATGGCAGCCTAAATGAAGACAGTTCACTTAAAAAAAAAGACGCAATAGGACTTGGTAGCCTTATAATACAATCATGCGTCACTAATGACAAGGGACATGTAATGAGAAGCATGTCTGGGTGATTTCACTGCTGGGTCATCTCGTGACTGTGAAAATACCGAGTGTACTTACACAAACCTAGATGGAATTAGGTTTTCTCTGGAAAGTAATTTTCCTCCACAATCAGGTTACCTACTTTCTGTTCGTTGGCTACCTTCACACCAGCATCCAAGACTCACTACTCACATTTTATAGTGAGTACCAATCCTTGAATCATTTAAACCACCCATTTTGTAAGTCTAACACCCAAATCAGGTCCAGCCTTTTCTTCCAACATTGCAAACACTGTGCTTTGCCCATCATCCAGGTGCTGAGGATACATCTTCATTCAGGTCATAAACGTTTCTCCATATTTGATATAGACCCTTCTTGAATTTTTGCATCTTGTTGCCGTCAATGAAAGGGATCCTTTAACAGCTTCCATCACTTTGCTCTTGTTCTTTAAGGTGGTAGCTATGGTGGAATGGCTGATTGGTAAGAAATAACCATCATGAAGAGTTTTCACCTTCATAGTGCTTACTTTTAATTTCCAGGTAACTTACTGGATGTAGCCTCTCACTGGCAACATTAGCAGTGGATTTTGTATGCTTAGGGGCGATGTGAACAAAACAACATGAGATTAAATCAAGTACAAGAAAAAATGATGCATTGAAGAGATGTGGCAAATGTAAATAAGATAAATGAGCTGCCGCTGGCCTCTGGTGCATACATGGTCTGTTGTTGATTGAAAAATCATTGTGCAGTGAGTGACGCTCTTCTATATGAAAAATAAGCAGGAAAAATGACTGACAGTGTTTCAGAACATTCTGACATGTGTTAACATGAAAGGGTAAGTTTGCTTTCCTGGTCCCGATGGCAGCCGCTTAGCTTTGCTTAGCTCCCTCTTCCTGTTTTTTCTACAAGAACCATTCCTGGGGAAGATGGTCAATGGAGCACAAAAGAGTGTAGTCAGAGCCAGGGGATAACTGTGGATGGGCCTTCTGGCTGCAGGCCACCAAGTATTTGTTCCCTCTTCCATCTTTAGTGCAGAGGCTTATTTGATACTAGTTTATGGGAAAATAGGCAATTATACAAAATACAGAATTGAAACCCATTTGTTTTTAAATGTGAGTTTTGACACTTGAAGGATTTCACTCCAAACTCTCCATTATATGATTACCAAAAAATTCCATGTTTCAGGAAAACATCCTTAATCCTAACATAAAATTCATGTCACTTATCACAATGTTAGACAGTTGAGTGTATAAAGGAGAAACAAAACAGAAAGAGTATTTACAAATTTAGACTATATGAGACATTGTGAGGAACCTTTTGTTAATAAACAGACTACATACTTTTACAAACTACATACATTTAAAAATGATGCATCAGTAAATAATCTGATAAAAGTCATAGTGTGAGGACTTTAACTTACATTCAAAGTCATCATATTGAAGACTTTAAAATTAAATTCAAGTAGGAAAACTTTCAATGCAAGGTCTTTGTGATAAAGACTTTAAATTCAAGGATAGATTGTCTAAGAAAGGACAAGCCATTGGCACTCTAATTTAGTCAAATTAGTTTCCTGTGAGTACAAAATATCAGGATTGCTAAATGGATTGGCCGAATTACAAATGTTGCTCATTTCTAAATAACACAACTGCGAGGAGTCTTATGCAGTTTCTTTCTATCCTTGTGTAGGTATATCCACTACATTTTAAATCCCTATTCTAAACAATCCCCTCTCCATTTCTGTATTTTTTCTAAGTAGAAAATATTTTTAAACAAAGATATGTCTGTTCCTTAGCTAGAGAACTGTTTCTCCATTGACTCCTGGAAGAGAAAAAAAGATTCCCGTTTCCTCTACCTCAAAACCACAAAGCAAACCAAACCAATCCAACTCCTAAAGTAGCATCACATAGCGCCCAGGGCTGGGACAATATTTCATGCTATTTTCCTGCTAGATGCCAAGCACAATTATTTACATTATTGAGAAATCTATTTAACAGACTAGAGTCATCCCAGTGCTTCCATCAGCAGAAGCGCTAAAATAGGCGTGAACAGCGGCGTCTGCGAATGGGAACATCAAAGACCCTCCTCCGTCTCTCCTCCTCTTCATCTTCATCTGATTCATCCATATCTGCTGAATCATCATCGTCGTCTTCCTCCTCCTCCTCCTCCTCCTCCTCCTCTTCCATCTCTTCATATGCATCAGGACCCATTTCCTTGAAAGAGAAAACAATCTTTTGATAAGAATGTCCATCAGGTTTTTTTCACAGCAATTCTATAATCTAGGATGCAAACAACCAGACCTACCCATTGAGTTTCACAGATGTGAACAGTGCAATTTCATAATGCACGTGCAGATGCAAGATTCTAGAATGTGTACCATGTGATAAACAGTGCTCAGTATGGTTATAATGGCAAACATTATTAAGACAGTACTGATTTTTCATAAAATAGCTGGTAATTCATACAAGGTAGCAAAAAGCCCAGTCCTAACAATCCAAGATAAAGTTTTACTGAACTTATACCAATGTTTTAAAGAATAATTCTTTACTGATGCATACGCTTACAGAAAAGAGGATGTGAAAGTATTAATCAGGTATGACCTCTACTGGTAACTTTTATGTACTGTCTTCAAGAGGTCTGATTTCTATTGAACTCTTACTATACTCATTTTAATTCAAACATCTGTAGCTTCTACTTGTGAAAAAAATGTTTTTATTTTTGTAGTGGCTTAAAACAACGGTCATTTACTCTGTCTCCTGGTTCCTACGGGTTGGACATTTGCAAAGTACTCAATAGGGTGCTTCTAGCTTTTGGTCTGTCATGATGGTATAGACAGACAATGGCTGGAACTGCTATCACCTCAAGGGCTTCTTCACTCACATGTCTGGTATATGGACTGGGGTGATCCAAATATCTGGAGACTGAGACAGATGTGTTTACATGGTCTCTTCAGTGTGGTAGCTTCTTTCAGGGTAGCTGGGTGTACCAATTGCATGTGTTCCAGGAGACAGAATGAGGCTGCCTTTTCCTAACTTAACTCCAGAAGTCAGTGTCACTTTGCCAATTCACTAAAACCAGTCCATGTTGTACTTTTAAATTCATTGCTTAAGGCTCCACAATAGGACAGTAGTGATGATGACCATATAGTAGACACCTCTTGGAAATGTCACTTCTGCTCAAGGAGTCTCAAATCAAGCCTTGAATTACTTTCCTCTCATACACTTTTGAAGACTCTGAGAAGAGTTGCTATATCAGCCAGAATTCTGAACAGCCAGAAGTACTGGGAACTTGGGGCATGATGCCAGCAAAGGTCCTTCCTCCAAGGTTTTTTCGTTTGTTTGTTTGAGTCAGGTTCTCACTATGGAGCCCAGGCTGGCCTTGAACTTTCAATCTTCCTGCCTTTGCCTCCTGAGTAGGGGGTTACAGGCCAACACAACCAGCCTCCACTAGGCTTTTATGGAACATGGTCTCACCTCCAACTGTTGTGGCCTTGTTCACTGAGTGCAGCTACACTGGCCTCCGTGGTTCACACACCCGAAGCACAGTGTTGTGTCAGGACCTCAGACTTGCTGCTTCTCTGTCTGAATATTCTTCTTCCACATATCCACTTGGCTCTCTTCACTCCTTTCATACCATCATGGCCTTTCTGGACACATCTTTATATTACATTCTGACAGGATATTCCTTTTAGCTCCTGTACTGATTTTTCTCCATAGCACTTGTTACCACTTGACACAATAGTGTTTGTTATACGTTGTCTGTTGCAGTGAGAATGTCAAGTCCAACGCAGGGATTTTGACTGCAGTTTACCACAGTACTCAAATATTTGTTGACTGAACAAATGAATTAATGTAGGAGAAAGGAATTGTATCACTTAGGATTTATTATAACACAATAATAACAATCAGAAAATACACACAGATGTGATTTATATTTCATTATTTGTATCTGGATTTTTTTTAATCTAAGGAATAAAGACTTCAAAATTTAGTAGGAGATTCAAAAGGCAGGAAGAGGAAGGTTTTGGAAATTCTAAAACATGATACTCAGGTAGTATGTTTATTAATCATTAATAATTAATCATTAAACTCCATTATATTAATGGAGAAAACCAAAACTGTTAAGAGAGTCAGTGCAGCTAAAGAGAGATGTAAGTGTATGTACACAAACAGCAGATGGAAAGGGGAACAGCCTTTTTTTTTTTTTTTGGCAGTACTGGGGTTTGAACTCAGGGTCTTGCACTTGCTAGGTAGGCATTCTGCCACTGAACCACACCCCCATCATAAAGTGGAACACGACATAGACGAGAATGACATCAGTGAACAGTGGGAGCCTTTACAGTGCCCTCTAATGAGCCCAGTGAACAACCACCAAGACCAAGAAAAGGCATTTATGGCTAACCCAAAGTGTACTTTAAAGTGGCAAAGTATACAGAAAAAAGAATTATTAAGCCTACTAATTAATCAGACTGGCAGAGGATGACAAAGGAACTGAATGATTCAACTTCCCTATCAAGAAAACTAATAGAAACAGGAAAGGCCAACAAATACAACCCTCATTGCTTTTTTTATGTTGATTAGAAATAAATTCAGAATTTTTTTTAAATTGATTTCTCATTGTTTAGAGAAAACATTTTCTATAAGGCAGGTCAAGATTTTTTTATATTTACTTGTGGTTAGGCAAAAACTAAAACTCTAAATAAATACATAATTAAGAGAGGGTTGAACATGTAATGGATTTATTGTAGTTTTAAAAGGAACTGATAAGTATATATTATAAAACTTTTCAGTTTCGATTTCAAGTATGGCAAGTACCAGTATAATCCATACAAGCAAGAGCTCTTCGGGTCCTCGGTGAGTTTTAAGCATCTAAGGAGGCCTGAGACTGAGAACCACTGTCCTTCAGTAAAGACGACTTTACACCCACCCTAGCAAACATTAAAACAAACATCAAAATGATCAACTATCTGTGATCATTATCATTTAAACCTCAAAGCTCTTTAAACTTTAGGACAAGGAATGTTATTAGAGATGAAGAGGGAGTCTTAATAATGGTCAAAGAAGCACTTCATTAAAAAATGTACATAATTATAAAGCTTCAAAATACATGAGACAGTCTGACAGAACTAAAAAGGAAAATAGACAAAGCCATAATTTTAGTTGGATATTTTAACAATTGTCTCTTAGTAGTTGACAGAACAAGAAAACACAAAAAGCAATAAATGAATATACAGATGACTTAAAAATCACTGTTAACCAAACAACCAGCTTCACCTGTCATTTATAGAGTAGTATTCCTCAACATGGTTGAATATACATTCTTTTCAAATACACAAAGATCATTTACCAAGATGAATTCTTTATATAATATCGGGCCATAAAACATTTAAAAGTATTGCAAATACAGAGTAAGTTCTCTAACTACAATATAATTAGAACTCAATAACCAAAAGGTAACTGAGAAATTCCCAAATGTTTGGAAGTTAACACGTTTCTAGAAAAGTCATAGATCAAAATTAAGTTACAAAGGAAATTTGAGACTGTTTTGAACTAAATGTTAACCAAAACACAACACACATCAAAATTTGTGAAATATAGCTAAAACAGTGCTTAGAGGACAGGAAAGGTCTAAAATCAAATGAAACCCAAGTAAGTAGGAGAAAAATAAAGACAACTGCAAAAATCAGTGAAATAAAAAATAAGCAAACAATAGAGAAAAGTCCGTGAAACCAAAAGTTGTTCCTTTACATGATCAGTAAAAGTGATAATAATCATGTGATTAAAAAAAGAGAAGATATAAATTACCAATATTAAGAACAAGAGGATGTATGACTACAGCTCTGGTAGCCATTAAAAGGATATCAAGGGAATATTGTGAATAACTTTTACGCCAATAAATTCAACATTTAGATGAAATGGACAAATTCCTTGAAAGGCACAAATTACCAAAACTGAAACAAGAAGAAATAGAAAATATGAATATTAAAGAAATTAAATTCATATTTAAAATTTTTCCCACAAAGAAAACTCCAGTCCCAGATAGCTTCACTGATGAATATTAACCATACAAAGATAAGGTTATTGGCTCAAAAGACACTGGGCTAGTCAAAAATGGAAGTATGTTATAAGGAGAAGCACATTCCTAGTACTGGAAGTAGTTTCTAGCATTCCTCCAATGGGAAAAAGCTAAAATTTCACTTCCACATTCAGGTCCTTTTCACCATACCACAAGTAGAATGGTTTGAAGGCTCACCATCATCCTTTTCTTTGAAAACTGGAGTTGTGAATGTGTCATTTCTGGGTCATGTGAACATCACATTCATCTTCCCAGACTTACCTCAGACCCACCCATCAGGGCCATCCCAGGAGCTAGAGCATTTTCTGAGCACTCAGGCCTATAACTCAGTTGCATTCTGGATATCCTATTCATATTTTCTTCCTATGGTTGGTTGCAGGTCCATACTTTCACTTAATTATGTTATAGTCCATAACTGGGATTACCTGTTACAAGGTAATCCTAAAAATGAGGTCTTAAAAATATACCTGATTGACTTGAGAAATGATCCCAGAGATTGCTAAAAGTATAAGTCCACCCATTTAAGTCATCTTTATAATGCTCTTTATAGGGTATATGTTTACTAAATTAAGAGTTTTAGCAAAAAGATTGTAAGAAATTGTGTTCCCAGTCTTTTTTTTTTTGTGGCACTGGGATTTGAACTCAGGGCCTCATGCTTACTGCTTAAGCCTCTGTGTTTTGTATGGATTATTTTGATGCAGGGTCTCACAAACTATTTGCCCGGGCTGGCTTTGAACCACGATCCTCCTGATCTCTGCCTCCTGAGTAGCTAGGATTACAGGTGTGAGCCACTGGTGCCTGGCTTCTCAGTCTTAATAAAATCAAATAAAGCCAATTCTGACTGGCTTTGTGTGACACTTCTCATATTCTAATACGTGTAGGGCACAGAACTACTTTTGGAAACAGTGAAGAAGCGATTGAATCTTTAAAACAGGTAACGGTAGTGTCTCTGAAAAGAGTAGGGATCTTAATTTCTTTGTTTGGCCCCCTGAACATCTTTACACAACCCTCAAGATACTTTCTCAGTATGCCCAGGGTTTTCTAGAACATCATCTATAAACCACTTGTCTTCCTAAACGATGATGTTCTGTAGAGTTAATTCTACAGTCATGTAAATCAGCACTGGAGGAAAAGTTAACTTACCAATCGGGCTATAGACACCCTGAATGTTGGACATGCCATGTGGAATCGGGGAATGGCAACGTTAAAGATCTTGTCTTTAAAGTACAGGAAGTGAAAGGTATAATATCCTTCCATATAGCCTGATGTTGTGGAGAATGTGGTACAGCTTGTGTATTCATATACTCGACCTGGACTGATGATTGGAAATTCACCTGCAGAGAAAACAATCCGTCAAAGTGTAAAATTCAGTTCTTCATTCTAATAAATAATGTGTTCTCTAAGATACTATGTAAATTGTGTGAAAGTAAAAAAAAAAAAAAAAAAAAAACCAAAAGGAGATATAACAAAATGTTAGGGATGATGGATTCTGAGCAAGTATCTAATTCTTCTTGACATTTTTTCTGTATTCCCCAAATTCTCTACAATGTAGCAGGTGGGGAATATCTAGTAAAACAAAACAAAAACAGCACATTTTTTTTTCTTTTTTCTTGGCAGGACTGGGGTTTGAACTCAGGGTCCTACACTTGCAATTGGCACTCTATCACTTGAGCCATGTCTCCAGTCCATTTTGCTCTGGTTGTTTGGAGATGGGCTCTTGTGAACTATTTTCACAGGCTGGATTTGAACCTCAATTCTTCTGATTTGATCCTCCTTATCTCAGCCTCCCAAGTAGCTAGGATTACAGGCATGAGTTAATGCCACCCAGAATCACATCTTTTGTTCAAAGTGCTTTCAGGCCTTGAAGATACAATCTTCAAGGTAATAAATGAGTAATAAAAAGTGCTTCAGTTAGTAATTCAAACAAAGATAAGAGTAATCTAACTGTTTAACAGTAACAAGAGACTAAAACATAAGGTTCTGAAGATGCATTGTAAGTATTCAGACCAGACAAAATGTCAGTCACAACAGAAAGTCCTTACACCAATGACAAATGACAAAAAAAGAGCATGACAAATAAAATTCCTTAGCACTACATTCTTAAATAAGGCCAAGAAAAATTCATTAAGTAAACATGTAGAACATGAATGTATTCATGTCAATAGATTAGAAGACTTTAATTTAAACTGAATTCTGGGCTAGGAGTATAGCTTAAGTGGTAGAGCACCTGCCTAGTGCATGCAAGGCCCTGGTTCAATCCCCAGCACCACAGAACAAACAAATAAATAAAACAAGAACACAAAACTCTGAATTCTGCAGATGCCTAGGACTGATAACAGAAGTACATGACTTAGATATATTATTTTCCTGAAGCACATATTTAAACCTGAAGAATCTGTCAATTCAGAAATGTAGGAGAATCATATTAAAAAAAAAAAGCTGAATGGTAATGGTCATGGAAACCAAAGTAAATGAAAACTCAGGTAAATGAAATCTAACCAATAAAAATCTGTACTATTAAGAAAATTTATTGGGCTGGGGGTGTAGCTCAAGTGGTAGAGTGCCTGCCTAGCAAGTAGGAGGCCCTGAGTTTAAATGCCAGTACTGACAAAAAAAAGAAGGAAGGAAAATGTTTTTCTTTCCTTCCTATTTTCCTAAGTCATTTAACTCAAAGAATACAATAATGAGTAGTTAGCCAATCTAACATACACACACACACACACACACACAAGAAGGATCAACAAGGAACCCCAGGTGAGTGTTCTACCACTTGAGCCATTCCACCAGCCCATCAATCCCTAAATAACTGAGTTTGCTATAATGTTAGAAAAGTTAATGCTTAAAGGACTAAAATGATGGGCCAAGGACCTCTTCATTACATTTATGAAGCAAAGTCCAGGAAGATCTGATGTGTAAGCTTAAATGTTGGGTTGCATACCGACCACTCCAGGCCCTTGGACCTCTTCCACGTCTCCTTTAGCATTGGTGATCCTCCAGTAGCGACTGTCCAACTGACAGGCCTTCTCAGGAAGCGCATCCTTCGACATTTCAATCCTGGGGAAAGGAGGGTGGGGGGGAGGAACAAATCTGGCTTAGCTACCTTTTTTCTTTTTTGTATAAGAACTATGGCATTGCAAAGGGCCATTTCCAAAGGAAATCAAGATATTCAACCCAAAGTCTACGTCAGCCATTTATTTTTCCAAGTTCTCAAAGATATTGCCTTACTTAACTTCATTCCCCCTCCCCCGGTTTATGCACTTAACTTTCACAACCATCAACAAGGGAGCAGGCAACATAACCATATGCAAAAACAATGGGACAGCCATTGTTTGCTTTTCGAATAAAGATTCAGTTGACAAATGCTCTCTAGAACACAGTGCTATGGAAAACTTCTAATGAGCAGGTAGTCTTTCAGTCATGACAAACCTATAACCCTGGTTATTTTCTCCATTTACTTATGAAAAGTTCAATGCAAAAAAATCACCAGTTCCTGAGATTCCACTTCCACTCTCCTTCCCAATACTGTCATTTCCCCTTTGCTAGGAACCTGCTATCTCTTATTTTTACGTTAAGTACCCTAGAAGTACACGTGGATGTTTTTATTTTAAACATGTTTCAATCCTAGGCAGGATCTAAACTAAATGATCAAAATAACAAACATTTATACCTATCCTTGGACAAATCAAAGGCCACACACAATTACCAAAATCTCAGGATGCTTTCTGGTAAGTATCTATTACTAAAGTACTTCCAGTATAGGCATTATATGTGTGTGTATATAAAAATAAATATATTTAAAACAAAGTATTCTTGCTCTCTTGGAGCAATGAATTGTCTTTATGTGATAGCACAGAATATTTCCAACTAAAAAATGAGTTTAAAATACTCATTTTTAGGGCTGGAGGTGTGGCTCAAGTGGCAAAGCACCTGCCTAGAAAGCACAAAGCCCTGAGTTCAAATGCTAATACTATGGGAAAAAAACAGAGATATTCTTCAAAAATAAAATAAAATATTCATTTTTATATTTAGTCAAATCTAATGCTTAATACCATGTATGACATACATGAAGCACTCAAACATTTATTAGATTTTTTAAATTAAACATAGACAGGTCAGCTGAAATATAAAACATAGTTTTATGTATGGCAATTTGATAGCTTCTAGAATGTATCCTAACTCTAAAATAGAGCTCTGATGATTACAACTTAATAATCCACTTCTCACAGTACCTGGCACAGTACTTGTGCAAGAAAAAAACTTTAAAAACTTAGATGCTAATATAAAATAAAAGTCCTTCATGAACACTATATTGTAGAAAATTCATTCACCTTCCTCTAAACTTCAGCAAGAAAGTGTTCTTCAAAATGCATTTTAGGCCTGGGGTTGTGGCTCACTAATACAGCACTTGCCTAATATGCGCAAGGCCCTGGGTTCCACCCCCAGGACCAAAGAACCAACCAAAAAATACCCAAAATGCATTTCTTATATCATGTCAAGTGCACAGAATATACTCCACTATTAACTGAAAAGAGACTGTTATGGTTTGGATGTAAAATGGCCCCAAAGACTTGTGTGTTAAAGGCTTGGTTCCCAGCAGGTGGCATTCTCTCTCTTCCTGGCTGCCATAAACTGAGCAGCTCTGCTTAGCCACACTGCCTCACCAGGCACAGGCCCCCAAGCAATGGAGACAACGGTGACCATAGAAGGAAAACTTGGAAATCATGAGCCAAAATAAATCCCTCCTCCTTTAAGTTGATTTTCTCAGGTATTTTGTCACAGTGACAAGAGACCCCATTTAAAATTCTCACCTTATTCGGTATGTGAAGAAATAGTGGGGTGGGTGTACAGAGCTGAGTTCTGGCAGAAACGACGTGGAAACCGAAACCGTAATATCCCCAGTGGTTGCTACGCACTCTGGATCATGGATGTACCTAGTAATTAAAAAAATTAGAAGTTTTAAAATCCACTAACTTCAATTCTAGGGATAAAAGGTTTACACATACAATGTACAACAGCATACTTATACTTTACTTTAGAACCAAAACTTCACATCATATTTGGGTATAGTCCTACTAAACTTAGAAGAAAGTTACAAATCTTGGTGACTCTGGTTTAGTAATGACAGTGACAAGGGCCGGTGGTCAGTGGTCCCAATAATAGATTAGTAATTAGTTTGGGAACTAAAAAGGGCTTATCTCAGGTTTCAAAGCTAGGAAAGTTTGGGGAACATCTGAAAACCCAGCTATATCTGCCAAATGGTGGCTCTGACAATAAAAACACATAAAAGTATGTATGTATGTAAGTATATTCAACCTGTAAAGTATAATGAAGCTGTTCTTCCTGCCTCTTAATCTAGATGCCCTGAATGTATTACTAGTCTATTACTTCTGCCACAAAGGCTACTATGAACTAATAATATCACTTCTAACTATAACTACAACACCTGAGTATTTTATTTAGAGATAATAATATTCATTAGGACTTCATATTACCTACTTGCTACTCATAATAAATGAACTGGCAAACAACCTTTTGTTTTTTTTGAAAGAGAAACTAAATAGCTACTATCAAGGCACAGGTTTTAAATCAAAATCAAATCTTCCTCTTGATTCTTTTAAGATAAAAAATACTAGCTGATTTAAGTCTTTGGGTGTTGGCTTTAAAGTGAGAATAAAGTAAAGAGATTTAGGGTAATGAGAGGTTCTTTTATTAACCTTCTTGGGAAATGTCATCTCATGACCTGTGATGGACAGTTTTTTTCTGACTTATACTCATTTTGATCCAAAAAGCCCAAATGAAATACCTGAAAATTTGGTCTCTGATGATGGGGAAGCCACCCGATACAACATTGTTGACATAAGAGGTAAACCAGTCAGTAAAAGTAGCACCTATAAACCAGAAAGGAGAAAAATGAGTAAAGGACAAGTCGTTTTTGTAAAATCTACACACAGGAAACAAAGAATTATAATTCCTCTATGATTAAGATGTGATACCAAAACTAGAAACATTTGTAGATATAACATTATAGATATAATTCTGCTAGTCTTTCATCAGGCCACTTTCTAGTCACAATTCTATTCACCTTATTTCTTTGAGGTAACTTTATTTGCCCCCTCCTTCTTCCCAGCTCTTTTCAGAGAATCCTATAGCTACCTTCAAAGTATTTTTTATACTTCATAGTTATGTCTAGGAAGAAACTATGAGAAAATGCCAGGCACCTCTTCTCAGACAATGACGATATGCCACAGTTCAGACACAACCTGATTCATGCACAAAATTCTGGCAGAAACCAGACTCAGCATGGACCTCTACCAGGTATGTGGCATTGTGGAATTCTGAACAGCAGGCCAATCCCAGAGTGACCTTGTTGTGTACTGCTAGATAGAGTCAGTTGCACAGTGGTCTTCCATACTCTTAGTGATCAGCTCAAGCAGAAAAAAAATTGTTGGAATAGTCCAGTTCAGACCATACATCCATGATGCAGTGACTGGATCAATGACAACTGTTCAGTTGAATTATGTTTATGCTTTCTAGGTAGTACCACATAACTATCAGATCCCATATTTATTATTAACATAACCTAACACATTAGTTCCTTAATGTTATTCAATAATTTCTTTGTGATCTGGTTTCAATTAATCCAGTTCTGCACTCCGCCATTCTGACTATCCTATGCTAAATTTGTAATACTTACCAATTATGCTCTGTAGGGAAGATAATTTGGCTTGTATCTAAGAGTACAAAGACTTAAAATTTTAAAGGCATCATTTGAGAGAAGACAAAACTAAAATAGCTCTTTTCTGAATATCTATTAATGGCCCATTCTCACCCATTATTTATTAAATGCTGTTGTATTCAAAGGTCACTGATTGTCTACTCGTTTGAGTAAGATAGTAAAGAACTATATGAACAATGTCAGTAAAATTGACAGAAGGTGCTGCCTTTGATCCTTGGCACCACACAAAAAAGAACTCATAGGAGGCACAATTTTATATTTTTATTTTGTTTTAGTGTGTTTTTGTATGTAAACTGCTCTAATTTATTTTAATATATTTTTCCTCAATATTATGTTCTTAGAACTAGTAATTTCACTGGTGTTTAAACAATCATTTTGTATGTGTCATGGAATAAAATTTTTTCTAAGAAGAAGAGAAGTTTTATGGTTTGCATTAAAAAAAAAAAGAAATTGGCAGGTCTACTTAATGCACTTCAACTGATTTCCATGGATACCAAACTACATTCTTCAAGGTGAGGGCATATTCGGCAACATTCACTGCTGCACTCAGCTACGCACAACTTCCAGTATGTTTAAATACCTACTAACAGTGCTCTGAACACATAGGAGATAGCATCTTGTGTGTAACCAAAAGTTCCCAGAAACTAGGCCTCGATGAATCAAGATGTACCTTCATGTTCTCAGGTAGCTCACCTTTTAAAGTGTGCCCATGTTTGGCTGTTTCTTTGACAGTACTAGGGTTTTATCAAGGTACCCAGGAAACTGCTTTGTCTTTCACCCAGCATTAACTTCCCATCTCATCTCTGCTCCGTGTATCTCATGTCTCTTTGCTCTTTTATTTTTTTTTGCAGTACTGGGGCTTGAAGTCAGGGTCTACACGTTGAACCACTCTGCCAGCCCTTTTTGTGGTGGTTTTTTTTTTTTTTTTTTTTTTCTCGAGATAGGGTCTCACAGAATATTTTCCTGGGCTGGCTTCAAACCATGATCCTCCTGATCTCTGCCTTCTGAGCAGCGAGGAGTACAGGCGTGAGACACTGGCGCCGGCCTTGTTTTTTTTTATTCTGGGAGAAACTCTGACTTCCAGAACAGTATTACCAGATCTTAGTACTCTGTTGCAACAGTGGTTTCTCCACACCTTATCAGAAGAGCAGCAAGCTAAAAGTAAGACACTCGAACAGTCTAGCAGCTGCAGTCTGACTTATAAATTCAGTAGCACGGCAGGACTAGAGTGCAGATGGCCATCTCTGAAAATGTGCTGTGTAACGATGCTGGTGTGGCATAACCTTCAGAGACTGGTTAACTTAGAAACCAGGGACCACATGAGTCAGAGTGAGTTGAAAGCTCAGGCCTAAATGCAAAAGTTTTTAGAACTTACTAAGAGATGAAAATTTTTTTTTTTTTTGGTGGTACTAGGGTTTGAACTCAGGGCTCATGCTTGCTAGGCAGATACTCTACCACTTGAGCCACTCCACCAGCGCTCAGTTCATTTTTTTAACTGGGAGGAAAAAAGAAAAGAATGATTGTCTTTTCTCTTACCTATGATAAACATGTCGATAGCAGCTGGATTCCGAGCCATCTGGTCCTAGATGGGGGAGAAAAAAGTAACTGATACATTTCTCATTGTTTATTACCTGCATCTTTTCCTGTAGCAAGGCAAAACAGATAAAAATAAAAATAACTTAAGTGTTCCAATCAACACTCAAACATTCCTCACACTTTTTGGGTCCTATTTATGATTTCTACGTAAACATGAAAAAAGACTTTCTATAAAGTCATTGGCACTTGTATAAAGTAGCAGCACTTGTCAATAAGAGAAACACTTTGTAGGGATGTTACTGGCGCAATGAACTGTGAAATTATTCTTCAAGAGCATGATCAGGCAGTAAGGTATTAAGATATAAGGCTTGCTACCTTAAAGAAAGGACTTTGGAGTCACAGTCAAGAAACCTGAAAAGTCACAGAATCTCAAAAACTAAACTTTTAAGAAAGTAGAAACATACAATTTGTTCAACAAGAAGTTTATTAGTTTTCCTTACATTTACAATGCCTTGACATGATCACAGCCTTCCCTCTGTATGTGCAACAATTCGCACTGTTTGTCCCGTGGTGAAATTTCTTTTGACATTCTATGCCATTATGTCTGAATATTAGCTGTCTAGTTAATTTAAGTGCCTATCATTATTCTATATCCCTGAAATAACTAATGCACACATTTATACAATCATCAGAATGCATTCTAAAGCCACAATTAAATACTTCCTACTTACTGGACATTGGTAGAAAACTTCATTTTTGTTTCGGCCCTCTGCAGCTTCGACTGCTATGTACTGACTCAAACCAGTATGTATGCAGAAAGTTAAAGGGAGACAATATTTTAGTCCCTGTCTCTGCTGGAATCCCCCAGCAGCTGTATCGACATCTAATAAATCTTCAGAACGATAGTGATTTGACAGTGCCATACTTCCCAGCAACCTGAGGAGAAAACAGACTCAAAATGTAAAAACAAACAAACAAAAACAGCAACAGTACCAAACAGACATCTTTATGAACTATACATTGACAACTTTCTAAGCATTGCTTAGCATAATTCTAAACCAGAAATGCCAAAACTACTCCAATTTCTACATGTTAAATTCAAACTCCTTTGATCAGAAAGATTCTGATTCAAATTTAAAAATAAAATGTCTAAATTACTTAAATGCCAGTCTTTTAAAAAGAAATATAACTGGCCAGGCGCCAGTGGCTCACGCCTATAACCCTAGCTACTCAGAAGGCAGAGATCAGGAGGATCACAGTTTGAAGCCAGCCTAAGCAAATAGTTCATGAGACCCTATCTCAAAAAACCCATCACAAAAAAGGGCTGGTGGAGTGGCTCAAGGTGAAAGCCCTGCGTTCAAACCTGAGTACTGCCAAAAACAAAAAACAAACAAAAAATACCACCCCAAATTGTAAGTAAATTTGATGGCTACTACATGGTCTCCTCTTACCAAAAAATTCCACATGAATCTCATAGAATCTTTTAGAAGGTTTGAACAGTTTATTCAATGGTAGGCTGCAGGTGAATATGACAGATTTTCTTTAGTGTATGTAGCTCTCAACAAGGTAGTGTACTTTTCATGCATAGTAGATAGAATTTGCATCAAGCTCCTAAAACAATTTGCCTGGCCTATAACATGCCAAGTGTTCCCAACAGTTTAGTTCAAATATATTCATAAATCCACCTCTACCCTATGTCCCCAAGCCCCCATCCCCAAACAGACTCCACTTTAGTTATGAAGATGTGTTGGTTAAAATGAGGTCTTTATGAGATATATTTATTTTGGTAAAATCTAATTCAAGCAATAGATTTTCATCTTATGGATTCCTATAAAGAGGAAGAGGGAATTCTTATACTTCTTTAATTTATTAAGGATAACTACAAATAAAATTTATTTATTTTCATTCTGGAAAATCACATTAAAAATAGCAACATGTATTAAAAATCCCATCAAGCACCTTACCCAGGAACCACTAACTTCTGCCCGTTGTGGATTCGATATGAACACCGGTAGTCATTGGGAAGTTTACAACCAATCTGAGCTTCCACAGCATCAAGGTCTTCCTCGCGAGCGCCCTCTGCAAACGGACACCAAGGAGGGAAATGTGAAGATACAAAGAGCCTTCCGCCTAATCATCTGTCAGCTAACCAGTGAGACAATCTTAGAGCCAGTCACTTCTGCCTGAAACATATGGCTAAAGCACGGGAAATGAACTGAAGGTCATCGTGGGGAGCACAGCACAAGGCAAAGTCCCTAGTTTCCTCTTGACGGAAAACACTGGCAACTTGGGAAAATATGGAAAGGACACCAATAATTTTTCTTTACATTATAGCACAAAACATAGGGCATATCTCACTTTTCTACACCTAATAGTCATACTGCTTTTGTTTATTTAAAAAAAAAAACTTCAAAATCCTCTATATTCTTTTTCGTGTGTGGTACTGGGGTTCATGCTTGCGAGGCTGGCACTCTACCACTTGAGCCACTCCATCAGCCCTTTTTTCCCGTTGGGTATTTTTGAGATAGAGTCTCAGAAACTATTTGTCCAGGCTGGCCTCAAACCTCAGTCCTCCTGATCTTGGCCTTCGAGTAGCTAGGATTACAGGTGTGAGCTACAGGCGCTAACAACATTGCTCTTTTTGTTGTTGTTCTCTTTATGGGAAATATAATACCTAAGATGTAGGTTCATACAGTGAGGCAACAACTAACCTGGATTCTAGTTTGCACATTTGTAAACTTGCCATGTATTCCTGCTTTTGGAAGCAGGAAGAAGTGACAAATACCAGTAGAAGAGATCCACTTCCAGCAATGGCCCACCAGGCCATTGGGCCAACCTCTCATCACTGAATAATAACAAAAAATTTTGAAGACTTAAGCACATGCACTCACACACGCACGCACGCGCACACACACACACACACACACACACACACACACACACACACAAAAGTAGCAAGGCATGATGGTGCACAACTATAATCCCAGCACTCAGGAGGCTGAGGCAGAATAGTGAATTCAAGGCCAGCCTCAAAAAGCCACAAAGCTGAAGACAAGGGGTCCAGAAGAATAAGTAAACTAAGAGGTGAGTCAAGCCTCTGAACACCATGTTTCTGAAGTAATTGCCAATATTAAAAGAAAACAAGAGACTGAGAGGTCAAGAAGCAAAGCAAAGATTTAGGCAATATTACGGGGCAAAAACCTGGAATCCAGAGACTATGAAGAAGTAAGGGGTCAGGTGAAAATCCAAAGTTTTTAGGCTAGGATTTAGAAGGGCCATGCCCTAGGAATGGAGGTGAACAGAAAATAGACTAGTCCTCACAAAGACTAATGCCCAGCTTCGTATCAATCATATCAATCCCTGACTGGATTAAGGTGATCTGTTCATTGAATTACCAGTCAAAAAACAGAAGCAAATTTTTAGGAGAAAAGAACCATTACACCAAAACTCAAGAAATGCTTTCCAAGCAATCAAAAGCATGAGGCTGGTCTGGACATGGTGGTGCATGCCTAGAGTAAGGCAGTAGTATTTGAAGAGATACAGTAGAGAATTGTCCAAAATTCATGGAAATATAAAGCCATGATTCGAGGAACACTATAAACTCCATGGAGAGTAATTACAAAATCATATCCAGTCACACTTTTGGAACAGTGTTGAAAATCAAAGATTGAGCAATCTTAAAAGCAACCAGAGTGGAGAAAAGATTTAATTAATTTGATTAATAATTACCTTCAAAGCAACAACAGTAAGACTGAAATCTTAATTCTCAACAGAAACAACAGAAGTCACAAGAATGATGTCTTCAAAGTAGTAAGGAAAAGAGTAAGTGCTGATTACAATTTTATATCCAGTGAATACAACCTTCAACAGTGAAGATGAAATAAATATATTTTTAGACTAAGAAAAGCTGGTGGGGCTGGGGGTATACCCCAAGTGGTAAAGCACTTACCCAGCAAGCATAAGACCTTGGGTTCAATCCCCAGGACAAAGAAAGGAAGCGGAAGGGAGGAAGAAAGGAAGGAAGGAAGAGAAGAGAAGAAAAGACAAGCGAGAGGGAGGGAGGAAGGGAGAAAACCTGGCAACATTCAGTAGCAGTGGTCCCTCACTAAAGCAAATACTAAAAAGGAATAAAGGAATTCTTCAGATAGTAGAAAAATGATCCAAGACAGAAACATGAAGTTATAGGAAATCATGAAGAGCAACCAGAAAAGATAAATATGAAGGTAAATCTAAAATATTGAATATGTAGAAACTAACAGTTTTCAGGGATGTTAAGTACATTGAAAATTAAAATCGTGAAAGCGCTAATGTAAAGAGGCTCAAGGTGCAGCTCAGTGGTAGAGCAGTTGCATAAGATGTGTGAGGCCCTGGGTCTGACACCCAGCAGCCTCCGCCCCAGAAGGACTATAATACAAAAGGCAGGAGGGAGGTGATTAGAATCAAGTATTATAAGATTCTTTCATTGTCTAGAAAGTGGTAAATATACTAATTTACATTAGATTTTAATAAATCAAAGATTTTAATAAAGCAAAGATGTTTTAATCTTTACCATAATCACTAAAAAAGAAATCTAAAAGGGGGAAGGAATGGAATAAAACATAGTTAAGAAGAATGCAAAAAAAAAAAAAGAAGAGTGAACATGATACTATTTAAATACAAATATACTAGTAAACATGCTAATTATGAATAGGCTAAATAATCTAATGAAAAGACAAACTGACAGATGAGATAAAAGACAAAGGCTTGGGGATATAGCTCCAAGGTAGAGAGCATTCTTAGCACACATGAGACCTGGTTTCAATCTACCGCACCAAAAAAACAAAATACTAAACAAACCCTCCCCCCAAACCTATATAAAGACACATCTTAATGTAAATATTGGGGGGGGAGAGCTAGAATGATTAATAAAATCACAAAGACAGGCTTAAGGCAAATAACTTTAATAGCGCTAATGGAGAACTTTCATAATGACAAAAAGATTAAACTCACTACACAGATATTATAATTCTAATTGTATGCATCTAAATAACACAGCTTTAACATATATTTTTTTTAAATCTCAGAACAAAAGTCTACAAGCATAGTAGGTGTATGAGTTTTCTTCTGCTGCAGTATTAGCAGCTTAAAATAGCACTCACCTATTTATTTTTTAAGTAAATGTGAGGCTGGGATAACCTGGGCAAGGCTTTCTTAAACACCTCTCCCACACAGGTGAACACCTGGCCCCTCTACTCTAGGCTCAGCTGAGGGGAGGTGAGTAGGCTGAGCCCACCTCCCAGGAAACTGAGCCAGAAAACACTCATTTATATTACTCGTTTCTGTAGGTCAGAAGTCCAGGGATGACAACTGGATCCTCTGTTCAGGTACGAGGCTGAAATCATGGTGTCAACTGAGGCTGCTATCTCATTTTACACATCTTTTGCTTGGATCCTCTTCCAAGATTGCTGATTGATGGCAGAATTTAATTCCTTACAGTTGTATGATTGAGGCTCTCAGCATCCAGAGCCCACCTGCCATTGCTACCTATCATGTGGCCCTTTCCATAACATAGCAGTTTGCTTACTCAGTCAATGGAAGACACACACACTTTGAATCTCTGGTCTCTTAAAGATTTCACTTGAAATCAAGCCAGGCCCTCCTCAAGAAAATTTCTCTTTTGATTAACAGTGAACTTACATTCAACTCATTTAAGACCTTAACTATATATGCACAGTCCCTTGCCCTTTTCATGTAATATGGCCTAATCATGGGAGTGAAATCAATTAAGTTTACAGTAACACCTATTCTCCAGGAGAGACAAGTATATCAGGCATTCAGCAGGAGGTGGGAATCTTGGGGGCTACCTGAGACTGCCTACTACACTGCCTACCACAGTGAGAGACATCAACACACCTGTCTAACTAATGGAAAGAAGAAAAAAAACAAAAAACAAAAAACCACAAAACAAACAAAAAAACCAGTAAGGGTGCCAAGATCTGAACCAGATTAGCAAATTTTACCCATTATAAATATATAGTACAGAACTCAACAACTCAAAAGGATATATATTCTTTCAAGTATACATGGAACAATTACTAAAACAGATCATAGATTAGACCACGGAGCAAGTCACAACAAATTTCAAATGATAGAAGTTATAGAATTCTCTGATCACAGTGGAAATATAAATCATTAAACAGCTCCAAATATTTGGAAATTAAACAATAATTTCTATATAACCTATGGCTTAAAAAAGGATAAGAATATATTTTGGAGAGCATGCATGGTGGCCTAGGCCTGTAAACTCACCACTTAGGAGCTGAAGGAAAGAGGATCACAAATTCCAGGCTAGCATAGTCAGACTGTGTCTCAAAATAAATAAATAAATAAAAACAATAAAACAACTTTGACCTGCATAGCAATGAAAATACACCATATTAAAAACCTGTGGATAAGTTAGTATGCTTAGAGGGGAATTTATAGCCCTAAATGCACTGGGGGTGGGGAGAAAGCCTGAGAAATCTATGATCTAAGCAATCATCTCAAGTCAGGAAAAAAAATCATAGTAAACTAAAACAAGATACAAAGGAATTTATAAAATGAAGACAAACATACAATAAAGTAGATTGACCAAAAAGCCAGTGCTTTGAAAAGACTACTCTTTACCTGACAAGACTGATCAAGAAATTATAATTGTAACTAACTAATATCCGAAATGGAAAAGGTGATATCACTACAGATTTAATAAGCATTAATAAAACAAAAGGATATTATAAAATATTTTATGCTAAAAAATTTGAAAAATGTGAATGAATAGACAACTTCCTGGATAAACACAATTTATTAAAATTGATGTAAGAATAAATAAAAGGTCTGAATGGTCCTATATCTAAGAAGAAATTGAATTCTTAATTAAAAACCTTCCCATAATGAAAACCCCAGGGTTGAATAGCTTGTTGTCACATTCTGCTAATCATTTAAGCAAGAAACTATATTGAGCTCACACAAGTCTTCCAGGGAATAGAAAAAGAGGCAGTACTACCTAATTTGTTTTAGAAGGCCATCAAGAAAGGAAAATTGCAGTTCAAACTCATGAATATCAATTTAAAAACTCTAATAAAATACTAGTAAATTAAATCCAAAATGTATATAAATTATGTATCCAATGTATATATATATAAAATGTATTATAACTAAAAAAGTTAATTCCAGGAATGCAAAGTTCAATATTCAGAAAAATCAATGTAATTTACCACATTAACAGAATGAAGGAGAAAAATCATGTAATAATCACAAGGCAGGCAAGATAGTTGATAAAAATCCTAATTATTCATTTAAAATAAAAACTAAAAAGCCTTGTTTCCCAAACTAGGACCAGAAGGGACTTCTTCAACCTGATAAAGAATATCTAGCAGAGTACGGTGGTGCCTAACTATAATCTCAGCACTTGAGAGGGTTAGATAGGAGAATTAAGAGTTCAAGGCCAGCCTGGGCTACATAGTGAGACTTCTCTCAAAAAACCAACCAAGAAAAAGAAAATCTACACAAACTGTACAGCAAACATCATATTTAAAGGTGAAAGGTTGAAAGCTTCCCCTTGAGATAAGAAAGGTAAGGAGTTATTACTTCTCCTTAACACTGTACTGAAGGCCCTTGCCAGAACAATAAAGCAAGAAAAAAAAAAAGTGATAAGCTGGAAATACAACTCTCATTTTTCTACATCCTCAGGGAAGTACAAATTAAAATCACTACTATCCCCTCACAACAAAAAGACTAAAATAATATCAATAAAAAATGACAAAGTGTTGATAGAAAATAAACTGGCAGAAGCTTTTGGAAAATTGACAGTATCTTTGAAATTTAATACAAGTATAATCTATAACCTGATAGGAATGTGCTCATAGGTACACCATAAATATGTACAGAAGGATTTGTAATAGACAGAACTGGAGTACTACGTTGCAACAAAAGTGAAAAAACTGTTACACACAAAGAAGTGACTCTCATAGCCAAAACAGAAACAATTCTTATATGACACATACTTAATGGTGCAGTTTAGACAAAGTTCAAAGAGAGAAAACTCATCTGCAGCATTAACAATCAGGATGGTGGCTGTCTCTGTGAAAGTGGGAAGGGACACAAGAGCTGTTAGGTACAGATGACACTTCACTTCTGGTCTGTGGGATGTTACAATGATTGTCACTTTGTAATAATTCAGTGAGCTATGCCCCTGTGATCCGTGTACACTCTGTATGTTGGTTAACATCTTAGTGACAGCATGTACCCTGAATAGCATGTGATGGAGGTGCACTTAAATGCGGCAGTAATCTTTCTAGAAACCTACAACTGCAGTCTAATCAGACAACACCAGTTTGAGGGATTTTCTACAGAATATCTCCTGAGGACTTCCCAAAACTGAAAGTCATAGAAGACAGGGAAAGGCTGAGAAACTGCCAGGACAATTAAAGAGACACAAAGCCAAAGGCAACGTGGTATTCTGGACTGGATCCTGGAACAGAAACAGGATCTTCATGGACAAAGCTGGAGAAACCTAAATGAAGTCTAGTGTTTAGTTAACAGGAACATTAATGAAGACTTTTTAGTTTGGATAAATGTCCCATACTGCCGTACATTAGGGGTAAAAGAAAATGAGTGACAGGTATACAGAACTCTCTAAACCATCTTTACAACTTTCTGGAAATCTAAAATTTATTCTAAAATAGAAAGATTATTTTTAAAAAAGAAGGTTTTAATACAAAAGGAACCAAACTCAACAGCTGCCTGAACAAGTGAGTTGTATAAGGAAAGATTTGTATGTTATGTGCTACATGTCAAATATTTAACATATAAAAAAGTATAAGTAAACACAACAAAAACAAAAAGAAATATATGTTTATAATACAGTAAGTTCAACATTGTCAGAGGTATTTCTATTATGATAAGGGCCATATAAGTTCTGACTCTATTCTTACTGACGGTTGATCTTGACAAGTTATTTCACCTCTCTAATCTTGTTTCCTCTGCAAAAAGGGAGATAATACCACCTACCTGAGAGAATTATAGGGAGGATTAAATAAGACTTCATGAGATTATTTAATAAAGTGCTTTACTGGCACTTAATAAATATTAATTTACTTTTTCATCCCTTAGCTTACTCATATGAGGAAGCAGTGAGAGGTTAACAGAAGCCAAGAAGACTAAGTTCTGTCTGTCACTTACTAGTTATGTGGAACTTTGCACAGATCTCCTAAACTCTCTGGGTATGTGTTTCACCTATGAAATGAGGGCACTAGAATTAATCAGGGACTGACCCACTGCTTGTTTCTATAAAGTAAGTTTTATAGGAACCCAACCACACCCCATTTGTTTATATAGTGTCTATAGCTGCTTTCCCGAAAGAAAACAAAAAGACCACGTGTCCCATAAAGCCTAAAATATTCACTATTAGGCTATTTAAAGAAAAAAATCTGCTAACCCCTGATCTAAATGATTGCTAAATTCCCTTCCAACTCTAAAATTCTAAGCCAACACGTAAGGTAAATAAGACATTTTAAGATACAGCATGAGAAACATTAGGATTCCATAATTTCAAGATGCTCTATAAAAATTGTCTCAAACCCAATGAATATGTGCTTGCTGGTTTTCCTTTTCTTATCTGCCACATCAATAACCTTGAAGTTCAATCAGGAATTGTGGCACCTGAAGGGAGCAGTTAGCTCCTCATTCAGTTATAGAATTCATCAAACCTAGAATTCTAAGAATTCCTAGCACTGTAGACATCCCAGGACTTTTACCTACCTATTCCTATGCATTCAAGTCCTTGAGAACTGAAACCTGGTAGTAAAGCAAGAGCAGTCAAGGATTCTCTAACAACCTAATACTAGGTACAGAACAAACAGTAGGGAACCTGAAAATGCCAAAATGAATGGGGGGAAAAAAAGGATGGGGGCAGAGAGAACTGTATCTATATTCTCAAATTTCAAATGTCCCAATACAGGACTAGCTCTTAAAGAGACCTAAGACATTCTAAACAAAATAGCATAGGTCCTCTCTCTCTTCAGCCAATGTTAAGACCACAGTTCTGGAGTGAGCCCTCTATCTAACTTCTGGTTTTGCCTTTTGCTTTGTGATTGTAAATAACTTACTCTTTTATGCCTTAGGTAGTCCCCTCTGAAATAAGAACAGGAAATTACCTATATGATATAACATTTTGGGAATAATACAAAACACTTAGCTTTAGTGTTTAAAAATATTGTGAACTATTAACCCTATTTTACTTACCACACACTAAATACCTATTTTCACCCTTTGGGAATAATACAAAACACTTAGCTTAGTGTTTAAAATATTGTAAACTATTAACCTATTTTACTTACCACCACTAAATACCTATAATAATATTACCCTCTTCTATTAAAAAATATATTAAAATATTAATCAAGGGTACTTTCCTTCAAAGCTCGTTCCCTCTACTAAAATCATTTTCTTCTACCTTCTAACAATTCAGTTTCAATGATTTGTATGAAAATAATATTTGCATGAGAAATTACAGTAGAAATGTGAAAAATAAAAGGAATGCTATTTCAGAAGAGACCTTGGTTCTAAGAAATGAAAACATTTTGAGAAGAACAGATTCCAATTTAACTCAGCAAAACCAAAATATGTGCATGATTCCTTTCACTGGTTTGGAAAAAAACTTGGAAGGTAAAGCAAGTAAGTAGCAACACACTATATATGCATTTTTCATGAGCATTAGTTAACAAATCAAATGAATGGAAATAACTTGCTAATATTTTCTTGCCAAAATTGATAATAGTTTACTAGAAAACACAGATCCTGGGATCAAACAGAGACCTCAGCTCAATTCAGATTTCTCTAGTTTCACTACTTGTAAATATTTAAATAAAGATAAAAGTTTTTCTCTATTATGCTACTCTTACCACTCTTAAAGACCAGGTTTTCTTTCTAAATATTACATTGTCAAACATTTATTTGTACCAAAAAAGGAAAAGGTGTTGAAACAGTAGGCAAAGCTTTCATTAAAAAAATAATGTATAGAGGGTTAATTCAGTTGTACGGTGCTTGCCTAGCATGTGTGAGGCTCTGGGTTTGGTCCTCCACAGCACCACAACAGAAAAATCTTTTAAAAAGAATCGTGATAGTTAATAAAACAAATATGAAGATAAATAAGTTTGCAGCTCTCTCTGAAAATAAATAACCACGTGGGTCCTATGACTAGAGCAAGAACTGGACACGCTCTAGAGCAAAGGTCCTTTTAACAATATTGATGTTCTACTTCCTTGGCCAAATGAGAAATGGTGAATTAAAGACAAGGTTAGAAATAGATCACACTTTAGGCCATAGCAAAATCTAACAAATACAGAAAACTGAAACCATTTCTTGTACCTTATCAGATCATAATGGAATGAAATTAATCAATAGCAAGAGAAACTACACAAAACACATGAAGACCGGAACACATGGAGAATGAATGATCAGTGGGTCATGGAAAAAAAAAAAAATCAAGGGAATTTTAAAATTCCTAGAATCAAATGTAAATTGAAAATACAGTATACCAGAACCTGTGGGATGCAGCAAAGGCAGTTCTAAGAGGGAAGTTTATATAGCTGAGTGTCTCCTTTCAAAAATCAGACAGATCACAAATAAATAACTAATTATGTACCTCAAGCCCTGAATTAGTGATGGAAAAGAAATCATGACGAGGCAGAAATTTAATGAAATGGAAACTAAATAAGGTTGGGTTAACAAAGTTGCATAGAGAGAGATATCAAAGTTATTTAAAACTAATCTGTCTATAGTAATAGTAACTAAAATGGGGAAAGAGAACTCTGCATTCCCCGGTACCTTTCAGAGATAAAACCATCCGAGGACACCTGGGCTCCAAATACTTCTTGAGGTCATCCCAGGCCTTTTTAATAGCAGCATAATGGTCAATGTATCTTCCTACGTCAGAGTAAGTGTCTATGAAGAGAGATTTCCAACACTGATTCTTCCGTGTTTTCTCTTCCCTAAATAAGATTTTTAAATGAATTAAAATTGTTCTGAAATGACATTAGCATATATTTTTGACACTTACCAATATATTTTATTAGGAGCTTGTGGTTCCTTGCCTTCTTTTTCAAAGTGATATATGCATCAAAAAACTTTATAAACAAGAGTTAGACTGGCATGGTGGGATTTTGATTCACTTATTTTTCTTTCTACTTAATTCTTTCTAAGTTTTCTAAAAATTTTTTTTGTTTTGGTGGGTCTGGGGTTTGAACTTAGGGCTTCACGCATGCAAAGCAGGCACTTTATATCACTTAAGCAACACATACAGTCCATTTTGCTCTGGTTATTTTTGGAGGATGGGGTCTCACAAACTAATTTGCCCCAGCTTGTCCTGAACTTCTGAGATCCTGTCAATCTCAGTTTCCCCAAGTTGCTAGAATTTAAGAGTGAGCCACTGGCACCTGGCTAATTTTCTAATCCTTACTAAAATGCAACGTGAGTAGTATTGGGTACAAATTTCAACTTACTCCTAAAAATAGGCCAGTTACAAAATTTTGAAAGGTATATGCAGTTGTCTAATGACATACTGATATTAGAGAATACTTAAGAGTCTAATGATATAATGATATTAATCTAGCACACCTACATTGGATAAGCCAGAAAATCATAAAGCATCAAAACATTATATGATTTGACATTTCTATTTGGTAAAATTCACATACATTTATTGAGTGTCCATTCAGCTTTGTGAGTAGGCCAGTTCATAAAATGTATAGTACAATCAGAGAGAAAGAATAAAGCGTAAATTTCAGAGTCAGAAATGGTAGAGGATAAAGCAACCAAAGAGTCATAAGGTAACATATGAAGGAGATTGGACTTTTCTCCTGTAGGAAATGGAGAGCCACTGAAGACCTTTTATGGGAAAGTTAAAAAGCAGAATCATGGTTGTGGTTTTGAAAGGCAGGTTTAAGGAGAGTAAACTAGAAGCATTGGAGAAGAGTTTTGAAAGGCTTTGTAGTAGTCCTGGTGAGTGGTGAACTGAACTAAGGTAAGGGTAGCTAGGTGAAATAAATAGATGAAATGAATAGATTTCAGAAATATACTAAATATAACCCAAGCACAAATCAGGAAGGCTTGGTAATTAAATGATGTAGGGAGAGAAAGAGTGAACTTGGGTGACTCCTAATTCTGGTGTCAATGCCTGCATGATTCGTATTGCTATGAAGACTAGGAATGCAAAAGAATAGGTTTAGGCATGGAGAGAAAGAACAGGGTGCTTCTGTTGTTTGTCTTTGTTTTTTCCTTTTTGAGACAGAGTCTCAGGTGACCTTTAAGTTTTCTATGATGCTCAGGTTGACCTTCAACTTGAGGTCATCCTGACTCTGCCTCCGCAAATGCTAGGACTATACATGAATGCCATGGTTATAATCATGCTGGGCAGAAGGTGGGAATGGGGGAATGAGGAGAAGGGAACATCTTTGTATTACTCTAATATATAGATATATTACCCAAGCTAAATAGCACCAAAGAAACTGGGCTGGTAGTATGACTCAGTGGCAGAGCACCTGCCTAATAACTCCCCAGCACCACAAAATTAAAATGAAAAAGGTACCAATGACCTTGTAGTTAAAAAAAACTAGTCTCAGTTCTAACCCCAAACTTTCAAATTATATTTAAGATATTTATGGAAGTTATCTTCTATAATTCTAAATGTTTATACCTCTCAAACTTTATCAATTTTATATGTATCTGCTGAGACCCAAGTAAAAACAAGAACATAGCAATACTTAAATTCTCCCTTCTCCATTCCCTCTTCAACCCATTGTTTGATAGCTCTGTTGTTAACTTTTACTTTTGTAGAACTAAACCTTGCAGCTTTAAGAATATATGTAAACTTCCATTTCTCACATGAACATCTTCAGTCATAACCTGATTCCTCTCAATCTAAGACATTAGTATTCTTGCCTTTCTTCTACCTTTCCCAACTCCCCACTATCATCTACACTTTTAGTCTGACAAATTTGTTACCATTTACTGAATTCAGTTACCCCAGATAGCCAAGGGAAAGGTCCAGCAGACAATTTGCCACCAAGCCTGGAGATGTGGCAGGAAGGGGCTTGGGTCTGGGCACTAGGAGCACTCAGATGGTTGCTATGAACTGCAATAAGGTATGCAGAGTTCATACAGGGAGAAGGGCAGTGGGCTAAAGACAAAAGGGTAGAGAACACCAACATTTATTGGCAGACACAAGAAGAACCACCAAAGCAAATAAAGAGACAAGGGTTAGAGAAGAGAATCAGGACAGACTAGTGTTCTAGTAGCCAAAGGTTAAATTTCAAGCATACATATTCCTCATTAGAGGCTAGAAAGCAGTGAGGGAGGGAGAGTCAGATGGAGATTGAATGACAGACACCAAAATATAGTTAAATAAGAAGGAAAAGATCTAGTGTTCTACCACACAGACAGCTATAGTTTACAACAATTTATTGTATGCTTTATAATATATATTTTTATAAAAAGAACTAAAAGATAGGCATTAGAAGGTTCCCAGTATAAAGAAATATTTAAGGAGAGAGAACTGTTACTTAGCTTGATCTGATCACTATTCATTATACGTATGTATTGCAGTAATCATACTGTACCTCATCAACGTGTACAAATTATTATGTACCAATTAAAAACAAAGTTAAAATTTTACTCTAAAAAAGCCAACTCCCCCCACAAAAGAAAACGTAGTCCCCAAGTACTTACTCAGATATCAGCCAGTATTTTTTTGCAATGTCTTCTCCATAGTGGATCATGACTTGATAGCTGGCTAAGTCTTCGACTGACATAGCAACAACTGGCAATAACCAGATTCATAGTTAGCATGAAAGAAAATAAAAAAAAGTTAAAAATAAAGATTATGATAGTTATTGTTAAATCATTCAATTTCCTTTACTTTGCTTATTTTCCATTCACTGCCACTACAAGGCAATAGTTTCTAAAATCTGTTTAATGCATCAGCTAGTATAACTAAACTTATAAGTAGTCAAATCTTAACTATTTCAGTACAACAAAAATCCTGGAACCTCTATAATAATGTTAATTATCATAAGCATTAGAATGTACAAACGTTATGTACATACATACACTAACCTCAAAGAGCTTCCTACTTTTATCAGAATAGTAAACATCTCTACATAAAGGAAAAAATATTACTCAGGTGCAAACAATGGTTTTAGGGTTTTTCTTGAGATCTGTAGGACATGTTACTAAATGCACAGGCCTTTGTTTTGTTTTCACTTTTTCATAAATGAAAAAAATGCTGCAGCATATAAACCAATTATTGGAGAGTCCACTTAAACAGGGTGTCTGCCTCATAATAGTTCTGATTCAATATTCGTGGCTATACAAAATATCAATTGCCCAAAACATGAAATGTTTAAATGCAAATGATTTTCTTACTATATTGAGATTTCAAACACAATAGCACTAAATCCTATATAATGCTACCCTACATAATTAATGTTTCAAAAAAGAATGAACCTAAGATGAGGAAAATGGATTTCTATAACCTTTCAAAAGAGAAATAACGACTCACAAAAAGTAGGTACTCAAAGATTTCACTTGAGCAATAGCTAATCAATTAATAGACTCTGAAATCACAAGGGGTTTGTCAAAGTTATGAGTAGAATATGTTAAATACCGATCTATGATAAACAAATTAGGCTTTGGTATTCAGATTTCACAGAAACACCATCCTCATCCTTTTCTGCTAAACTCTGGAGATACTCAAACTAACTTTTGTAAACAAAGGAACCCCTCCAGTTTTACTAATTCAGGCCCATTTCTCCTTTTCTTGATTCTACTGACTCCACTGTCCCAGCAGTTAAACAAGGTGAAAGAATCTGGAGTGAGCACCAAACATGATTTGATGCACATCAAGGTTGAAAACTACTATTCTGGAGGCTGATTTTTGTTGGCTTCAGTGACAGCTGAACCTCGGGCACTGGTATGTTTAAGAAGTGCCACAGGCTATGCTGATACACAGTGAAGTGGAGAAGACTCTGGAATCACCCTGGAATGGAAAGACACCATGCAATCTCAGTTTCAAGCTATGCAAACTGATACTACACCCAAGAGCCCAATGGATAATCTAATCCAACCCAACACAGTTGAGTAATATGTACCAGCACCCATCAGGCTTGGCAATGAGCTAGACACTGTGGCAAAGCTGGACTCTGTGGTACAGGAAAGAAGCTGCAGTATACTGGACATGACCTATAGATAAA